ATGGATTTTGTGTTGGTGTGTGTTGAGGTGGGCGTGGGTTCTGGTACGTGGTTCTGGATTCTTTGTTGGTGTGCTGAGGTAGGTGTAGGTTCTGGTACGTGGCTCTGGATTCTTTGTTGGTGTGTGCTAAGGTGGATGTGGGTTCTAGTGTGTGGCTCTGGATTCTGTGTTGGTGTGTGTTGAGGTGGGCATGGGTTCTGGTGTGTGGCTCTGAATTCCATGTTGGTGTTGAGGTAGGCATGGGTTCTGGTGCATGGTTCTGGATTCTGTGTTGGTATGTGTTGAGGTGGGCGTGGGTCCTGGTGCGTTGCTCTGGATTCTGTGTTGGTGTGTGTGGAAGTGGGCATGGATTCTGGTGTGTGGCTCTGAATTCCATGTTGGTGTTGAGGTGGGCGTGGGTTCTGGTATGTAGCTCTGGATTTCATGTTGGTGTTGAGGTGGGCATGGGTTCTTGTGCGTGGCTCTGAATTCCATGTTGGTGTTGAGGTGGGCGTGGGTTCTGGTGTGTGGCTCTGGATTCTGTGTTGGTGTTGAGGTGGGCGTGGATTCTGGTGTGTGGCTTTGAATTCCGTGTTGGTGTTGAGGTCGGTGTGGGTTCTGGTACGTTGCTCTGGATTCTGTGTTGGTGTGTGTTGAAGTGGGCATGGGTTCTGGTATGTGGCTCTGGATTCTGTGTTGGTATTGAGGTGGGCGTGGGTTCTGGTGTGTTGCTCTGGATTCTATGTTGGTGTGTGTTGAAGTGGGTGTGGGCACTGGTACGTGGCTCTGGATTCTGTGTTGGTGTTGAGGTGGGTGTGGGTTCTGGTGTGTGGCTCTGAATTCCATGTTGGTGTTAAGGTGGGCGTGGGTTCTGGTGTGTGGCTCTGAATTCCATGTTGGTGTTGAGGTGGGCGTGGGTTCTGGTGTGTGGCTCTGAATTCCATGTTGGTGTTGAGGTGGGCGTGGGTTCTGGTGCGTGGCTCTGGATTCTGTGTTGGTGTTGAGGTGGGCGTGGATTTTGGTGTGTGGCTCTGAATTCGGTGTTGGTGTCGAGGTGGGTGTGGGTTCTGGTGCATGGCTATGGATTCTGTGTTGGTGTTGAGGTGGTTGTGGATTCTGGTGTGTGGCTCTGAATTCCATGTTGGTGTTGAGGTGGATGTGGGTTCTGGTGCATTGCTCTGAATTCTGTGTTGGTGTGTGCTGAGGTGGGTGTGGGTTCTGGTGCATGGCTCCAGGTTCCATGTTGGTGTGTGCTGAGGTGGGCATGGATTTTAGTGTGTGATTTTGGGTTCCATGTTGGTGTTTGCTGATTGATGTGGGCATGGTTCCTGTTGCATGGCTCTAGATTCTGTGTTGGGATATGCTGAGGTGGGCGTGGGTTCTGGTGCGTGGCTCTGGATTCTGTGTTGGTGTGTTGAGGTGGGCGTGGGTTCTGGTGCATGGTTCTTGATTCTTTGTTGTTGTGTGCTGAGGTGGGGGTGGGTTCTGGTGCGTGGCTCTGGATTCTGTGTTGGTGTGTTGAGGTGGGTGTGGGTTCTGGTGCATGGTTCTTGATTCTTCGTTGTTGTGTGCTGAGGTGAGGGTGGGTTCTGGTGCATGGCTCTGAATTCTGTGTTGGTGTGTGCTAAAGTGAGCATCAGTTCTAGTGTGTGGTCTGGGCTTAGGGACCCCAGAAGTGCTCCTGAAACCTGCTGCTCCTCCCAGCTGCATGTGGCCATTATCTGCCATGTAGTAGACGAGTGGTAGTTTTGCAGCACTTGTAATGCTCACACCTCAATCCTGTCTATTAGTGCACCTTCTGGGACTTCAGCCTCTTCTAATTGCTCACTTGGCAGTGGAGAGGAATTCCCTTGTGTGTTCTCCATGGAGGCGCATTTTAGAGCAGGGGCCCCAGAGGCTGGTGGTGGGATGGAGCCTTATCTCCAGGGTCATCTGATGGGATGTGCAGCAGCCAGCCAGGTGCTACAGGGAAACTGGTATGGTCGGTGGAAAACACACAACTGAAAGTGTGGGTTCTACTGCCAGCCCAGTGTGGTGTCCAAGGGGTGGAATTCCTGAAAAATTCTATGCAGACATGGGAAATGAAGGGAAGCTTGTCAGGAAGAAGCCTGGCATCTTCAGTGTGGTGCGGGTGGTGATTGGCCGTGAGTGGAAGTGCCTAGCAGGTGGCCAGATGCTTGAGTGTGAGATTTGTGGGGCTCAGACTCTGGGTGGGCCCTGAGACTTCCTCATCCCGAGGGTGAGTGAAGTCAGAAGGGAGAGGGAGCAGTTCCCTCTGCACATTGCTGCACTACCTAGAGGATTAGGGCATTTCTGTATCCCACAGTAAGAACAAAATGGAAAAGAGAGATTCGAAGGCAAAGAAGTGGGGAGAAGTTTGAGCTACTGGACTAGCAGATACCCGTGAAAGCAGCAGGGGTGTTGGCATGCAGAGGTGAGCTGTGTGCAAGCCACGTGCACTGACTCTCCGGAGAGTGTATGTGGTGTGCATTGGGGCTTCTGAAGATTACATTTTAAGACACTTCTTTGGGTAGTGATTTTATTTGCTAGAGTGTTAAGATTTGCCTTTAGATCTGAGGCCTAAATTCAGATTTCTTACCTACCTTCAACTCTTCTTTTAATCGCAAGTTAGTTCTGTAGGAGATGAAAGAGTTAGGTGTTGGTGATCCAGTAGTCTTAGGACCTCCAGCTGTATCCCTTTTACAAACATAAAATTCTTTAAAATAAAAAAAATTGTTTAGAAAATGAATACAAGTCTATATTAAAAGTTTCAAATATTAAAATTAATAAGGAAAATAATGAAGTGTGTGAAAGCCATATTTTAGGATCAGATCTCGTGAGAACTCAGTGTCATGAGAACAGCAGGAGGGAAATCTGCCCCGTGATCCAGTCACCTCCTATCTGGTCCCTCCCCTGACACATGGATTACAATTTGACATGAGACTTGTGGGGGACACAGAGCCACACCGTATCACACTTTTAGGACATGCAGGTGATATGTGGAGCAAATAGCATCTTGGGGTGGTGATGACAGATGAAGACAAGAGGTGAGGAGTCCATGGACAGGTGAGGCATAGGCATGTGCCTAATGGTGTTGGGACAGGGCAGGCCTAGAAATGGTGAACACAGACATTAGCTCAAGCCCCGCTTTGCTTCCTGGCCATTTGCATGAGCCAAGTTCCCCAAGATCATGAAGCTTCACTGTGTCTGTCCCATGGAACGTTGCTCAGAGTGAAGGACGTGGTGGATGGGGATTGCGTCGCACGGTGCTGGGTACATAGTGACTGCACGTGGTCCTTCCTCCAGAGTCAAGATGGGTCAGCCTGTAGAACTATGTTCTTCATTGAGACATCTTGATAGGATCCTGCCTCAGGCCCGGTCATGTCATGGCCCTGAGCATCAAACATAATCCTTTACCTGATGTGCATACAAGTGTGCCAAAGCTGTCAGCATGACATGGGCTGTGTGGTAGGCTTGTGTGTAGCGTGTGACGTGGAAAGCTGATACCTGGTACCCAGTGATTTTTGCTGTGATGATTTCTTTGGCATGGGTACTGCCATCATGCTCCCATCCTAGTACCCACTTCATAAACACTCACACCTCTCCAGTCACTGCTGTTGGAGGGCCTGTCTCCCAGTCTGTAGGTATGGACCTCTGCCCAGACGGGAGTAGAGACTCTGGCCTATGGGAAGTGAAAGCAGGACTCTTTGGTCCCTGGTGAGTTTTCAGGGATATCTTGGCACCTTATCCCTTCCTGAGGCTGTATTATGCCCTGGAGACCCCAGGCACTGCACGCAGCAATCACTGGGCTACCTCAGTGGTTGGCTGAATTGGATTCATTATCCTTGTTTTGTATCAGTGTCCTCTCAAAGCCTCAGTTCAGCTTTCAGGATTGCATTTTTTTTCTATCATATTTTTAACAACTCAAAGTATTCTAATGCTAGCTCCACTCCATGAGAGACCCTTCCCAGACCTAGCAATGTGATGATGAATCCTGGGGAATGTTAATCAGTGAATGCGAAGGGCCCTCAACACTGGCTAGATTTTCAGGAGGTATTTTTCTCCATTCTTTCTTCTTAGTAATAGATTTCATTGCATCCACGATGCTATTAATTATATCTTGATTTCAGAAATGAAAAAAATTGTACAAAATCATTTGTTTACAGTCAACAAAATTATTTCTTCTCAGAAATCTACACTTGTAGAGGTTAGGGCAAGGATCACTACCTCCATGGAGATGCTGACGCTTAAATGTAGTGGCAGAGTTGTTCCAGGGGACCTTGGAGAAGCCCCCTTTGTAGGGGACTTCTGATAACAATAACCTTCTCGAAAGTCAATCTCCTACGTGCTTTTTGTTGTTGTTGTTGTTGCTGCTGTTGTTTTTTTGAGACTGGGTCTTGCTCCACCAGGCTGGACTGTGGTGGTGAGATCACAGTTCTCTGCAGGCTTGACCTCCCGGGGCTCAAGTGATCCTCCACCTCAGCTTTCTAAGTATCTGGGACTACAGGTTTGCACCACCAAAATGGCTAAGTTTTTGTATTTTTTGTAGAAACGAGGGTCTCACTTAGTTGCCAAGGCTGGTCTTGAACTCCTGGGCTCAAGTAATCCTCCTGCCTTGGCCTCTTAAAGTGCTGGGATTACAGGTATGAGCCACCATGCCCAACCCAACCTCCCAAGTTTTAAGGAGACCTAATTTTTACTTGTAAGGGAAGCTTCTTCTGATTTTAAGCATCATTTTCATACACTATTTTAGGCAAAATATGATTATTGACTAGTCTATTACTAAATATAGATTACTCGGCATCACTGATAAGCTGTTAAGCTGTTATGACCGTAATACCGAAGCAGCTGAGGTGACCAGTAGCTAATGGGATAAAACTATGTACACGCAAGTATAGAAAGCTAAAACGTAGGCTCTGCCAATTCTTTTTTCTACATTTCAACTCCATGGTTATTGGAGTAGAAAACAGTTCTATTGATTGATGGCGTCAGATCTGACATTTTTCTTAACCTTTTATTAGGTTCAGGGAGCAAGTTTCCGAGGTTGGAAAGAAGTAACTTCACTGTTTAATAAAGATGATGAGCAGCATCTCCTGGAAAGATGTAAATCTCCCAAGTCCAAAGGGTAAGTCATAACCGAAAATGACCATTTCAGGAGAGGGAGGAAGTCATTGAGGAGGTGGAAATGAAGATTTGATGGCATAAATACAGTGTAACTGGATGTGCTATGGGGCTTGACGAGTCTGTTTCCCTCACCCCTCTCTCTTTCTGTCCCTGTTGAGTGGCAGCCAGTCATGGGGTTTCATGATGTGTGCTTCGGGTTTAACATCCGCCATGTGAATAAACAGAAATGAGTTGTGGTGTTCGATGGGAAAAAAAAAAAAAAAAAAAAAAGAGGGGGTTTGGGAGGAAAAAAAAAAAAAAAAAAAAAAAAAACTACTTTGGATAAAAGGTCAAGAGGATCTCTTGGCATTTTGAAAGGTTATAGAAAAGTGGAAAAGAACTTAGAATTATAAATTGAACTTATTAGCCTTAAAGCAGACTGTAGCCACAGTTAAGATTTTTAGTAGTTTCAGGGAAAGAAAAAACCAACACTTAAAAATGCAAAGGATTGACTGGTAAACTGTAAAAGATTTTAGAAAATTGTATAAATTTAAATTGACCTTGCTACTTTATCAATGTTTTAGAATTGTGAAAAGTGTAAAGTTGAAAATATAAGTTCAGTGACTACCCAGTGATGTTACCAATGGCATATTTCCACAACTCTGTGTTGTGGAAAGTTGTTTGATTAGAAGATGAATCCTGGCAAGTCTACAAGTACAGAGTTTGTTTTTGTTTGAGGATTGTGGGCCCCCTGGTCTGTTTCTCTGCACTTCGGTGCGCTGAGGGCAGACACATGGCCCTTCGTGCTGTGGTAGAGCTGTGACTTCACCTTCATCCTTCATCTGTAGAAGAATGAAGAGGATGGGGTAAACTGTTTCCCTGGTTGTCAGGTGACCTGCTAATACCTCAGCATCTTGAAGGAGAGGGCCTGGACACTGGTGTTGTTAAAAAGTTCCCAGGTGATGCTCACGGACAGTCAGGGTGAAGAGCCCTGGAGGATCTTTCTTCTGTAGCTGTCGCTCGCCACCTTTTCCTTTTTATAGTAGATGGTGTTCTGAATTCTTATTTTTGTTGAATAAATTACCTACTAAATGCTTGGCAGTAGCTTGGAATATTAATAATCCTATTGAAACCTATTTGGTAAATTGAATAGATTTCCCTCCTTGTTTCTTAATCTAGACCCTTGATTCTCATAGTTCTGATTTGCTCAAACTCTTGAGCACTACCTTCCTATTGCCTTGAGGATCTCTCTTGTGTGATAGTACTTCTTTCTTTCTTGTCAGAACTATTCTTTGCATATGTATTGCCAAGTGGTATCCTAAAATATGGCTTTCACACACTTCTTTAACAACATGTAGTGACTAATTTTTCCAACTTTTTATATATACTTGTATTCATTTTCTAAACATTTTTTTTTTTTAATTTTAAAGAATTTTATGTTTGTAAAAGGGATACAGCTGGAGGTCCTAAGACTACTGGGTCACCAACACCTAACTCTTTCATCTCCTATAGAACTAACTTGCGATTAAAAGAAGAGTTGAAGGCAGAGAAGAAATCCGGATTTTGGGACAATTTGGTTTTAAAACAGAATATACAGTCTAAAAAACCAGATGAGATTGAAGGTTGGGAGCCTCCAAAACTTGCTCTTGAAGACATATCAGCTGACCCTGAGGACACCATGGGTGGCCACCCATCCTGGCCAGGCTGGGAGGATGACGCCAAAGGCTCAACCAAGTACACCAGCCTGGCCAGCTCTGCAAACAGCTCCAGGTGGAGCCTGCGCTCGGCAGGGAGGCTGGTGAGCATCCGGCGGCAGAGTAAAGGTCACCTGACGGACAGCCCGGAAGAGGCGGAGTGAGGGGGGCTGTGTGGCGAGGGTGGCCTTTTATTAGTATACCATTTAGTTGTTGAGTCTTTTCTGTGTTAAAAAGAGAGTCTACTTTTTGCCTATATTTCATATTTGGACCTCTGTTTCATTGTTTAATGAACTCACACACACTGTGACTCCTTGGTGAACATGTGCAGGGATTGTACATTTGATTGCCTTACTGCAGAAATATTCACCCACTTAGTCCATGTTTTGCAGAAACTGGAGATGTGAATTTTTGATGCTGTCCCTTAATACAACAGTAATGATTTGCAGTTTGCCACAAAATGATTTTCACGCTGCTCTCTGCTGTTGTTCTGTTTCAAAACTTGTGTACGTACAAGAAATTTTTCTTGTATGTAGCACATATGCATCATCTGTGACACATGATAATGCAGCAGTTATGCAGTTCTCTTTTGCCAGAAAATTACAGTCAGGAGGTAAGATGAATCTTCCTCAGTTGTGTTGAATTTTGTTTAACTTTGTTTTTTTTTTAAATTAAAAGATATGTAAACAAATACTGGAAAAGCAAAGGTTATATTTGGGTGTAAAATGTCAGTATCTTAAAATGCATGCTCATCTTTTGCTGAGGAAGGAATAGCCTCTTGTGTGCATTGGATGCTAACAGTGGTTCTTTTTTGGGATTTAATTTTTACCTCTTTTGAACTTATAAATTAGTCCCTTTATTTTCTTAAAAAATTTGCTCTCTTTTTTGTTCACAGATTCAAGAAGTATGGACAAATTTTAGTCACTTGATAATTTTGTTTAGGAAACAGTCTCTTGCTCATTATACAGAGTTAAGACTGTGCATAAAATACTGAAGTGCCTCTCTTTTTTATTAGGCTCATATGTTTGTTTTCTCAAAGCCAGATGCCTATTGTGATTGGTGTTAGATTTGTAAGAAGCTGTGTTTCCTCCACAAGAATAACTGACAACCAATTTGAGAGCATCTCTCGTGCTCTTTTTCTGTCTGCTTACTGTCCTTGACAGTGTGATCCTGCACAGTATCAGGTGCCAGTTATGTGTCCCCAGCAGGTCGGGTCATATCAGCGGGTGTTGCAGACATCTAAAGTAAAAGTGGTTTGAAAGAAAAGGTATGTTTTTCTTTTTTGTTTAAAAGCAAAATAAAACCTCCAGTTACACTGTGCATTCCCTTCACATAAAAACAAGACAAAAATCCTTTCTTGAGTTGCGCGGCATGCACTTCTGTGCTGTTTCATGCATATGGTTTTTCCTTGAGTTTGTTCCTGTGGAATAATTGAGTGTGCCTGATGGCAGAACACACTGCAGTGCTACCAGTGTCTGCATGTGTTTTAACATAGAACAGGTTTACTTGATCTGTCATTTATTATGGCAAAAACAGCAATTTTGCACCATCCCAACCCTAACCTAATCCATCCATCCATCTGGCTAAAGCGATAATCTGTATCAATCGCTTATACCTATCACTCATCTGTATCTGTTCATCTGTCCTCTGTGTCTATCAGTCATCTATCAGGCTACATCTATCTAGCCATCTGTCAATCTACTTTTTTTTCAATAGAACAAGTTTACTTATCAAGTCTTGAAAGGGGGACATGCTTCAAGTTGTGTTCAAACAAAAATTCCAGTTTGTATTGGAACCTTGAAATTGTGAAGTTATGGAGGTTTTCTTTGTTCCATAATACAGAGAAAAGCTTATAATTTTTAGTATAACAGCTATATTGACAAATTCTAAGTTTCCTTAGGTAAATAGTTGTAACTCTCCTTCTCCCTAGAGAATTGCTTGCTGGGGTAGTAAAAACATCGCCCATGTCATGGCTTCTGCAATACTTTCAAGCAGAAGTCAGTGTAGGGTTGTTTCTGGCTTACATGGTCTTGCTGCACAGGAATGTAAACACTGTGTTTGGAAGTCTGGAGATCACACGTGTGGGGAGATGGGGGCCACTGGCCCACATTGTGGGGAGCACGGTGGCTGTGATGGCTGCGGTTGCTGTGCCTCTGTTGGAATGCTAAGTGCCTGCAACCCACATCGATCATAGAATTGTGATGCATAGTTGGCAAAATAGTTCTTTATGCGGTTTCTCAAAATTTGAGGATAAACCCAGATTGGGATTGGAATATGCACTGTAAATCAGATTTTTCTTATCTATAAGACTAATGTAAAAATCATTTTTTGTTCTGTGCCTGATTAAAATAATTATGGTTTTTAATATAAATATTTATTTGTGTGCTTTGGGAGAAAAATGATCTTTTCTTGAAAGAACCTACCAAAGCACATTTGTCATCTTCACAAGTTAATGGGAGAATGTGGTTTTGATTTTGGGTGTCTGACTTGCGGAAACACACAGCTTCCCTGTGTGAAGACAGTTGTCCTGTGCTCCTCCTACTGTGCTTTTTAAAATAGGAAAGTCATGGGCTTCAGAGAAGGGTTCCTCAAGGTTGAAGTTTTTAAAAAATAAAAGTATTGTTTCTAAGCTCTTTCATTATTGGTTTGCATGATTATTGGCATCTGCTTATGATGGTTTTAATCACTCAGAGCTAATGGCACCTTTCCTGACCATTTAGCCTCGTTTTAGAATGCAGTCAACACATGTAGACTTTTCACGAATAAATGAACCACTTCAACCTTGGTTTTCAAGATGTGTCTTTTGCGTGTTTGAATGGCCTGTGTGTGACTGAGTCCTTGGTGCAGAGCCCACCACTCGAGGGAAACGTGGCAGGGCACCCCGGCTGCTGTTTTTGATTCTTTATTTCATGAGTTCTGTCCTTAAGCACACTTTTACTCCTTCATTTCTAATTGGAGAAACATGAACACAGTAGCAACAATTTACTTTTAACAAGTTCTTTTAGAAAGCAGTGGCCTGTCTAGAGAGTGCTGTTCACTTCTCATGGGAACAGGACCCCAGGCCCTACGGTGCCTTTGAGGCTGTGTTTTTGGGGTACAGATGCTTTGCAGGGAGGCACAGGAGGGCCATGTGGGATCCCTCTTCTCAGACCTGCGTCCCGGGCAGGTGGATTCCCGCCCTTCCTCACGGGCCTCGTGGGTGAGTGTGGACTGCACTGTTGCCCACTCCACCCTTGCTGGGGAGAATGGACGGCACTAATGGTCATTTTGCCCCCCGTCCCCTGGCCTAGCCTGGTGCCCACCTGCTCTTCCCCAGGCCTTGCGTGGTGCCCTCAGAGCCTGAGCTGCTCATCCACACCTGCCAAGTATTTCTAGTCACCTCTGGCTGTCTCACAGGCGAGGGAACCATTCTGCTCTCTCTCACTCCCCTGATTTACTTTTAGCTGTTAATTTGCTTTGGGTTTTTTTGGTCATTCTTCAGTTGATATTTGATTGATCAACCGAAAGGCCAGCCAGCAGGGCACTCGAGTCAGCTCTGAAGAGATCACCTGGCTAAGATGATTTTTCCAGTGCTCAACATTAATTTGATCATTTTCCAAAAAAAATGCTCAACTGAAGAGTGCACTCTAGCCTGGGTGACAGTGAGGCCCTGTCCAAAAAAAAAAAAATAGCTCAGAGCAGTCCAAAGGTCGCTTAAACAGTGCTGAAGGACTGAGAGAGCTTGCTGCTATTGTTTTCCTTCTGGTGGAAAAACAGTTTTCTACCAGATGAGGTAGGAATGCTCTGTGAGCAGGCCTCTGCCTCATCCTGAGCTGGGTGGAAGCAGAGTAGTCCTCATCCAGGTGCGTGCTGCTTGGTAAAAGCGTCTCTGCCTGGTGCTGCGACTGGCAACATGAACTCTGACCCAGCACCAGCCAGAATCAACATTTGGGGATTGAAACTGTGGCAATGAGTGATTCCTGTCTTGGCCTGCAGTTCTGTAATTCCAAAATTGTTTATAATTCTGGATATGAGACATCAAAATGAGGGCTCAATCAGATGAAATTATGCTCAATTTAGCCTCAGACTTAAGTGATGTATTGTTTTCTAGTTCTTCAGACCTAGCAGAGTGGCTGTGGTAGCTCTATCTGTGGTTGCCAGTGGCCACCAGCTCTCACCCTGCCGCTGGGGACCTTGGGCATTGGCATCTGCTTGTTGTTGGCAGCCCTGAGGGGAACGGGCAGGCCACCACTGCCACCTCTCACTGGCTGCTGGGCTCAGGACTGGCCCACTGTTAGGGAAGCCACAGGTCCAGCAGTTGACTGCACCTATTTAAGAAAAAGCACTACTCTGTTACCTAAGAGGTTTTGTGATTCCAATTGTGAAGGAAGAATCATGTGGAAATGAAAACTTAAGCTTTTAGTGAATGACAGAAAAGTGGACTAGCTTTTGTCAGTTGTTCAAAGCGTACGATTCTCCTGAAAGAAGACAGCTCAGTATTTCAAACATCGGAGCCGTGTTAGTTTGGTAAGAAGTGGAGATAGTGCCGGCAGTGCTCTGAGGCTGCTCAGTGTGGCCCTTTCAGTGAGGCCTTGGCCTGCAGCACCAGCCCTGAGAAGGGTGCCGGCTGCTGACCTGCAAGCTTTCTTTTCTGTGTATAAAGTAGGGGCATTCTCAGAGAATTCCGAGGAGAAAACAGTGAAGCTTGAAGAATATTGGTGAAGCTGTGAAATACTGAACACTTCCTAATCTTAGATTAGGTTTTCTGCATCCTAGTCTTGAATAGCTATAACCAAAGGCTCTTGCCTGTGTAAACACTTTAATTATAAAGAGCTAAAGGCAGGAGGCACAGGGTTTAGGTGGGCCAGGGGCCTTGCTGAATACAGCTGGTGCTCATCAGCCCCTGCTAGGAATTTAGGGCTCATGAGTGTAGCTGTATAAAAGCTGCCACCTCCAGGAAAACAGCTATGGGTGTTTATGGTGCTGGTGGTGGTGTAGATAGTGATATTTCCAGGGAAGTTTGGGCAGAAAATGCAGGGCCTTGGGAGTGAGGCAGCATGTGGGCAGGTGTGGATGGGTTCGTGCTCAAAGTCCTATCACCCAAGGCAGCATCCTGAAGTCCACTGAGAATCTCAGCTGATGGTATTGCCTAGAGTGGGAGGCAGTGGGCACCACAGGTTTCTCCAGCAGCTTCCTTGGCTGTGGAAGTTTCCAGGTTAGGGGCTAATCTCCACCACTGCATCGATTACCCTTTCTCTCCTGTCTTTAGAGGTCAGTGGGACGGTTCCATGGATCTGCCCTCCCTCAACCCAGATGCTGACGTTGAACTTCCTGATTGTCCTGGTCATGGCTGCGTTCAAGGTGTTCTTTCTGTGGGGTGTCTCTTTCTTACTGGGCTGACAGCACTGGGACAGCAGAGATGCCACACCGCGGGGCACACCGCCTAGGCACCTTTGTGTGGCGAAGGGCCAAGAGCAGCTGCTCCGGAAGGAAGACAGTGGTTACTGGGATTACCTGTACAAGTCCTGACATTTGGAAAGTCACAACTTTACCCAGCGTGCCTGCCTGCCACACATCCCTCTGCCTATCCTGAGGTGGTGATGACGCTGTGTGAGGCCCTGTCCTGGACTCACCAGGTGGGTGTTTGCCACTCTGCCTGAGAGACCCTGTTCCTCATGCATGACGGGAAGCAGCAGGCTTGTCTCTTAGGACTGCCGTGAGTCACTGTGGTGGCCCCGGAGCCTGCCACATTCTGAGGCTGTGAGCACTGCACCCATTGTTGTTCTGGGAGTTCTTAACATGTGGGGCCTCCCTCTAACAGCAGGCAGCATGCTGAGGACTGGCAGCCTCACTGATCCAGCCCTGCCACTGCCACTGTTCTACCTGGGGAGCCACAGAGGCTTCACTGGGAGGGCTTTTGGTTTTAATGACTGTGAGGGTTTATTGATTTATGTGCACTAACCTGTCATGTGTCTGGGCTTTCTGTGCCCTTTTCCCTTGTGCAAGAAAGGAAAAGACAAGATATTGTCAAGAGCAGTTGTTGGGCAAATTTGATGTGACGCAGTAGGAGGAGGCATGGTACTGGGATCGCCTCATCCAGGTCACGGCAGGCTTTTGTGCTGCCCCTGCTCGCAGGGCTTCTGGCTCTGCCGTGGAATACTCCCCAGTAGTGACGGTGGAGGTGGTTTCACTTTCAAATGGCATCAGCAGGTAAGAGTTGATGCTGCTGGCAGGTGAGGGACCAGCTATGGACTTCCATCTCTGGCTCCACCCGCCCTCCTGGGCCAGGGTCTCTGAGATCTTGCATGTGGGTTTGCTCTCCTGTTGCCAATACCTGGTGCTTTTACTTCTCTGCTGTGTTGACTCCTGAGAACATAAGATTTAACAATGCATGTGTTTTAAAAGCCACTTTTTCTTATCAATCTGTGTTTTTTAACACAAGACGATCTGACGTCAGCACCCTGGTGTTAGTGGCCTTCGATGGGTAAACCCATCTTTTGTTGCCATGTCGCCGCAGGAACGCGGGTCATCTGGTGATGTGGATGCGTTCCCATTGGAGCTAGCAGGTGTCCCCCTTGCTGCTGTGAAGAAGCACAGTAGGCCATGTAGTAAACAATAAATTTTAATAGTTCAAATGAAAGGATTATGGGGTGAATTTTACCTCTGTTTTTAATGTTTCTGGAATATGTGAAAAAAAAATTAGAAAAGAGTACTGACTGTTCAAAAAGAAACATGGTGCAACATCTGGTGGTGCTTCATAGATACGCCATCGCTGTCTCAGCAGCTCTACCTCTGATCTTGAGGAAGTAAGGCAGCAACTGGAAGCCTAGGGTCCTGCTGGTGCCATCTCTGAAGCACCTCCGCCTCTCACGTGTGTCCTGCTGTCCAGCCATGTGCATGTATCATGTACCTGCTCATCCTGAGGAGGGGAAGCTTCCATGTGGGCATCACGGTAAGTCATCATTTACAAAACTGTGAGGCAGGCACAGCCTGGGGTGTCAGCTCAGAGCAGTTCAGGCACAGAGGGGACCTCTTGCCAGGCAGGAATGTTGCCATGTCTGGGGCTTTCTACTCAACGGGGTTCAAAGCCGTAGGGGGTAATGGGTCCATCTTTTTATGTCTCAGCTTTAGCAGGGTGAGCTGAAAATGCACCCCTCGGCGGCCTCTCCCCTCCTTCCCCAGGTGAACGCCAGTGGCCTCTCAAGAATGTCAACCTGTTAAACTTAGGCAATGACTTGGCCCAGTGAAAGGCTGGGGTGGGAGGGAGATAAACCAAACAAAACCAGTTGTCTTCCCCTGAGGAAGTAAACTATTTTTGATTGAATTAATATATTTCAGTTCCCTGAATTGGAATACTCCAAATGAAACAGCTACTGTTTGAAGATTCAGCTGAACTTTCTGCCAACACAACTTCAGACAAGAAATAAAACTAGAAGTGAGCAAAATGAAAACTTTCCTATTATTTAGGTTTTTTATGTGTTATTAGGTTATTTTTAAGTAACCCAATTTTTTTTTCTTTTTCCATTTATGTATTTTATTGCATTTTAAGTTTTGTGGCACATGTGAAGAACATGCAAGATTGTTACATAGGTACACACGTGGCAGTGTGATTTGCTGCCTTCCTCCCCATCACCCACATCTGGCATCTCTCCACTGGCTCTCTCTCCCCAACTCCCCACCCCTAACGTCCCTCCCCTATTTCCCCCCAACTGACCCCAGTGTGTAGTGCTCCCCTCCCTGTGTCCATGTGTTCCCATTGTTCAAAACCTGCCTATGACTGAGAACATGTGGTGTTTGATCTTCTGCTCTTCTGT